TGGTCTCTGCGTCTCCTTGAAAAACTTGAGAGGGTTGTGTTGTGCTGTTCGCGGTTGTACTTGGTACAGTGGTGATGAGGGAAGCGGCGCGAAGGGTGGGTGCCCTTTTATTTCCAGCCTGACCGAGAGAGTACGGCAGCTGGTTGGCTGGGTGGGAAAAAGTTCGGAATTCATGAAAGGTGAATCAACATGGAAAATCCGACAAAAAGAAGCGTGCTGGATAGCGAAATCAGTTCTTTGGGAGAATATTGAGTAGGATGACGAGTACCGCCCTCTTAACATTGTAATCTCCAGAATGTTTGGAATGAGAGCGTACATGATGTCGACGGGTGGCCGGAAAAGATGGAGAGGACAACAGAGCCACAGATCCCACTTGGAGCTCTTGAATTTACTCATGGTACACCCCCTCTACATGATACCTTGGCTACTAGCAGCTGTAACCTGCTAGCCTTGGGCTTCCATGCCCTCTTTCAATTTGTCACCATTATCAAACATTTCATCCTTTTAACTTGCATCTCTCCATCCTCCCTGGCTACTGACAGCCATTACCTGTCAGCCTTGACCTTCCATGGTCTTTGTTTCCCTGCCCCCTACAATTCCACTTGCCTTGCCAGATCAGCACAATCCTACCTCATTTTGCCCTCTATTCCCCCCCTGCCTGACATAATTATTTTCTCCCTGACCCCACTCCTATTCACACCTCCACTGCTAGACATGTCTGGTCTGTGCCCATCTCACCCCACCATGTCCCTGAGTGTTGGCAGAGTATGTGACAAGGTGGTGAGGTGCATGCTACCTCTATACCCCCCTGCATTCCCACCTATCTCTGCCCCCCCTTTGCCCCCTGCACATTGTTCCCCTCCCCTTTGGAGAAAATGGCCTCACCCTGTTACTCCCCATTTCTGCCCCATCCTTCCAACCCTGCTCATGCCCATGAGGTAAGCCAGGACCAATGGGTGGACTTGGGCAGCATGTGGATTGGCTAGTGGGGAGTCTTGACCCAGGCCCAATAGCAAGATGGTGTGTTGGTATTTTCTCCTGGCCTCCTGCACATCACATTATCCCCCCCAACCCTTACCCACTTCTTAACCCTACCTGCTACATCATGCAAGGCCCACTCCTCAAGTGCTGCTGCCCTGACAGCTCATTTGAGCAGCTTGCAGATGATGTTGAGGACATTGATTTGGAAGACTTGATGGAGGACCTTGATGAAGACACTGACCCTGGCCACAACCTTGGTGACCATCATGTTATCCTCATCACTGGAGTCTTGGCCATGGAGTATGTGCTTGTTGTGATGAAGATTCAAGGCATGGGGCTCCCTGTCAGGCAGGATGACATGCCCTTTGACCTGGAGTCCTCCATGGTGGCTGTTGATGTTCCTGAAGGCAATGTTGAAGAGCTAGCTGCATGCATCTCTCCCCTCTGGGATGGCCTGGGCCAGATCTCTGTGGGTCCCTTTGTCCCCTCCCTTGAGAAGACCAAGATTGCTGTCTGTGCTGGCAAGGGAGTTGCTGTATGGGTTGACCTCAAATGTATCATTGATTATGTCACCATCCATGACATTACCATCAAGCCTCACCAGGCATCACTTGCTATGATTGTGCCAGGCACCTGGCAGCTGCTTGTTGAAGACTGTGCTGTTGCTG